TAGGTGAGGGTTACAAAATCGCCCTCACGCTCTGGAGGGACACTGCACTATTTGTCTGCTGCTCGGGAGTTTCCAATCACCACGAGGAAACATGGAGTGTATTATGAGATTTTATATAATAAGTTCGTTTTATTTCACATTTCCGAAAAAATGAACATTTACAGTGTGGTAAAATGTAGCCTGAAATAAAACCATCTGTTTGGCATTTAGCTCTGCCAGCACATGGGATCCTCTGCTGACAGTGATTGAGGGTGGAAGAGAAGATACTCTTGTGTATTCCCCTCGAAAAAAAAAGGAAAAGGAGGGACCGAATCTACGCACAATGAATATTTTTTACCCTGTGATGTGATAAATGGAACTGTGCAGAAGTGTTACAAAACAAGCTTTTTCTCATCCATGGGAAAAGGATCCTGCAACACGCAAAGAGTTGACAGATGATTATGAATCCTGTCTCCCACCTCCCCGCCTTGCTCAATTCTCAAACCAACTGCAGAAAAGTGAGAGAAAGGATCATTTGTCCAATCAAATTCATCCGTTTTTAGGATTATTACAAGGGGAAGAGTAGTTTGTTTTTTGTTTTTTTTAACCTGAGGAAAAACAAAGAAAAAGTGAAACAGATCATCCCTACTTTGTCACGTGGTGCCTGAAAGAATCTCTCTCAGTGTCTTTCTCTCCGGTAGAAAGTTCATGCCACTGCATGTTTTTTCCTCTGCTGGGGTTTTCGGCAGTGTAGCATGGCATGAGCGCACTGAGGAGCCTTTCACCGGCTTCATCTGATACCGCTGTGACTCGGAGCAGGAGCTGTGCTACAGGCCAGGATCGACATGCATGGGTTAGTAGGTCAAACAAGGAGGTAGTCTTTCGACAGAGTTCGGAGGCTGGGTCAGACTAATGTGATTTATCAATACGGCACATAAGTGAATCATTGTACTTAATGGGCATGATAATCCCTGAGACAGACGGTGGATATGATTGGTCGAAGAACTGGGGGGGGGGGCGTAGCTGATAGGGGGGTGTATACGTCGTTCTAGACTTGATGTCTTGATTAGAGCATCGGGAACACGCACCTGCAGGCTGCCCGTGTATCTCTCGCTTCTCTTCTTCTCTCTCGCTCTCTCTCTCACACACACACACACACACACACAGATTTACACTTATCGAGGCCTGGCTGATGGGGCCTGGGAGAGAAAAGACAGAGCTCTGTTCCTTGACGCCAGAGCTCGGGCTCAGGTCAAGACTCAGCTCGCTGTAATCCCTCTCAGGTGATGCTGTTCACATTCAGCCCTTTCCAGCTGATCTGCTTAAATATGCCTTCCTCATCCCCTAAAAAGCCCCCCACCTCTCTTCAACTAGCACAACCTCCAAAGAGAGGAGAGGAGAGGAGAGGAGAGGAGAGGAGAGAGGGCTGCTACTATTCCATACTGTCAAACTTCAGCATTTCTGTTAGCCGATCAATCTGGTGCCTCACGTGAATCGAACAAACCGACTCCTTCAGTTTCATGGAGTCAGAAAAGGTCAGGATGCGGGGGTTAACACCACCTGGATTAGAGCAGTGGCATCATGTGAGAAGACCTTGTTAGCAGTCGTGCCATCTTAAAGAGCTTTTTCACTTTTTCCAAAGGCGAGAGTGGCAAGGCTGGTTTAAAAGCAGCCTCTTGGAGCGCTCCCTCTCCTCCCCGTCAGGCACTTAATCAACATATTATATTGCGCTGAAGTGCCGGGTTCCAACATTAACACTTACTCCCACAAACCTGGGACTTTGTATGAGCCTTCAGCACACACAGGCTTGATTTCCAACGCTTAGAAAGAGAGAGGTCGCTATGTGTCCAGAGATGCTATCATTTTTTTTGATTTGTGCAGCCATCTGACTTGAAAATAGCTCCAAATCACTGTTTTTTTTTAGCCCCATTATCAACAAACACAGACTCAATTTACAAGAGTGTAATACTTGAGAGTTTCATGTTTCTACACACTCTATGTGAGTCTTTGTTGAAAAAATGGCACATTCAGCCACAAATCAGGATTATTTTCTATGTACTTTTGCATAAAAAACTCACCGCACACACACACACACACACACCCTTGTTGCTGACTGTCACCAGCAGTACAAAATGTCATGCATCTCTGACCTCACACCCTCCGCCCTGCAAGGCTGCACTGGTTTCATCTAATCACTTTTTGTCCTTCAAAAACATCTGGGAATGGAGTTGAGTAACAGATTACACAGTCGAATGTGATCTGAAACATGCTGAGGCCTGCTGGGAATTTAAATTTGGGGATTTCTGGGTAGATGTGGAAGGGTTAACAGTATCACATGGCAACTTTTCACCACTCTCCACTGCCATTAGCTATTCATTACCTGTTTAAACGTCTTAGGGCCCCACTGTGTGTCTCTGTTCCTTCAGGCAGCACTGGTACTCCAGCCTGATTTTATGTAGTCAGCAGGTGGCATCATTAGCCAGAGAATAAAAATGAAATGCAATACCCTTGTGTCTAACTATGATATCATAGCAGGGCTCATTGGCATCATTTCCCTGTTTCTGGTGGGCAGGATAGGGGGTAAGGAGGTGTAAATTTAATATGTTTTGTCATCTGTTTTACATGAAAAAAAAAATGTATATGTACAATTACCACAGCTAAGTGGGAGATTGGGTCATGCCATGCAGTGTGAGAGCAAGACAAGATCAGCCCAGAAAACCACACAAAGATCCCAATCTCGACCGTGCCCGTACATTATAGCAGCGCTCCGAGTCACAGGCGATGGCTGTTTTTCTTCTTGACATCCCCTAATTATAACGGCGGCTCCATCCCCTTACACCTCACTCAAGTCATGTGGCTGCGTGCGCGCAGTATGTCAAGGGCAAAACTTTTATGCGTGTAAAAAGGAAAAAGAAATTTGTGAAATCACGCAGGATGTGTCTTGTTACGCATTAAAATTGTCACGCCTGGGGAGCGGAGTGTGGCCAAACTGAGTTTCGAACATGTCTGGGTCTCAACACTCCTGATAGGTTTGGATAGTTCCCCGTGCATGCCAGACAGGCTGTATATAAAGCTGTCACAGGGACCTTGAGGGCTAGAAAAATATTCAAGCATTTCTGGGCCTATTGGACAATGATCTCTTACACATGCTTCTTTCAATATAACCGTGATAAATAAAGGAAGGAAGCAAATACCGAAAACTTGGCCGGCTGCCACTGCTTGCTAGAATGGCACTTTTGGCCCAAAGTGCTGTTCAACCCCCCTCCAAACACACACACACACACACACACATACACTTTCAGCATTACTGTAAGGCCGAAACCTGTACATATTTGAATGGGATTAGTTTGACAAGTGTAACATCCGCTCTGAGAGCTGGCGGTAACAATGTGTAGTTTATAGTGCTCAGCCTAAAGCTGTTCTTGAGGTCAAATGTGTAAGTTAACCTCTTGATCTCATCCCCACTGGTTCGCCCACCCCACCACCCCTCTCTCTCTCTCTCTCTCTCTCTCTCATCGTCTCCCTTTTCTCCCTTCTCTTCTCTTACTAGCTCTACACACACACAACACACACACACACACACACAACACACAGTACCACAGCAGGCATGCACACTACATAGATAAACAGGCCCCTAAAGACAAATGGAAAGACTTGGATTTGCCGCTTGACCATCCAGAATACCAGCCACAGTTCTCATAAAAGAGTGATCACACAAAGAAAACTGCACTCTATCACCTACACACTATCTAAGATCACACAGTCCACAGAGAGAGAGAGAGACACACACAGAGGGGCTGAAAAACGTGTGTGTGCCAGTACCCCGCAGTGTTTGCCTGATTATTTGCAGATGGGCAGTGGAGGGCTTGCAGAGTGTGGAGGTTCCCCCTTGGCACGCAGCGCATATGATTAAATCTGTGATTGCCTTACAATTTACAAGACCCCCCCCACACCCCTCCCTCTCTCTCCCCTGACTTTAAATGAGTTTTTCTACTGTACCACCACAAGGTCCGCTACACGGTCTCCTCTCATGGTCACCCTGAGGATCTCGGCGATGCGTTATGTCACAGGTCTGAGGAGGTCTCGGCGGGGGCCACTTTCCTAATCCCACTGTCTCCTCATTCATTCAGAGGATAGAGTAGTATTTACAAAGGGGCTGATCTCCTCCTCAACTCCGCGCGCCTCCGCTGAGCGATTGTCATGCGGGTTTCCTACCAATTGTTCAAAGTGGTTATGAGATCAATTAAAAGCAGCTTAGGGGGGCTGGAGTGGAGATGTGCAATTCATAAGTCAGAGGAAAGGGATTCCGTATCCTTTCACTAAATAACTCCCAACAATACGACCCCCGCCTCCCTCCCCTCCTATAAGCCGCTGCTCTCTATAGATCGACCCGCAGCGGCAGCTTTTTTTTTTTTTCTTAGCAGTTCCACATGTAAATAATATAGGGCGCCTTTTGTTTGGGGCCACACCATCGAGAAGTGGCGTTAGCAGCGCGTCTGACAACGTGCTTTAAATACGATTAGCCAATCCACTGACGCAACGCGTTTTAATATTAATTTTGGACAGCCACACGCGCGGCCAATTTTGCGCACATTTTACGCATTAGCTACCGGCTCTGAAACTGTTACATAATACGGAAAATGTTCTTTCACTAGGTAAATAAGTTACACCAGATGCTGCAGAGTTGAATTGTGGCTTAGTTTGAAATTTTCTGGAATTTTCCTGAATTACAATCTGCGTCGGACACTCTCACCTGTGCGATTTCAAAGTCAAACACTGATAGTTTTCGATATCTGATGTGTTTTTTTTTCCGACTTTCCCTGCGCACCGTGCTCCGTGAGAACCTGCAGAGAACGTGCACATACACACGAAGAGAAGGAGACTTTCAGAGGACCGTGAGAGAAACCTTGTTTAGGACTTAGGACCGTTGCCTCCCGTGACCCACACAAACTCTCTAACCATCTGTTAAAGTCACTGCCTGGATGCTGCTGTGAGACCTGTAGGTTATAACCCCGCGTTACCTCTTTTGCTTCTCCTCCAGCGGTGCGACGGCGCCTGACAGTTGCTGTACTCCATACAGTTCAATACGATCAGGGCAAATGAGAAGAGTCGAAACTGCATCTGGACGGCGATCTGTTGTTCGGACTCCAGTAAAAAGGTGCCAGCGGGGCTTGGGATGAATTCTCTGACTTTGCAATGTCCTCCTCCAGTTCCTTTAGTCGCTCCTCAAATGTGTCAAACATCAGACGAGATGCGACATGGTATCACGTCGCCGACTGGGATCATTTTATGGAGCGCGCTGATCCTCCAGTCAGTAAAAGTGTCCGTTTTTTGGTGCGCTGCGGGGAGAATGACAAAGGAGGTTACTGTGATAACAGAGGAACGAAATCAACACCTTCCCAAAATAATGATGCGTGGAGCTGATAGAGAGAGGTGGGGATTATAACAAAACAAAAACAAAAAAAAGAAAAAAAAAAAGAAAAAAAGAAAAGCTTCTTCTGTGTGTTAATGTGTTGGAACAATCGCAGATGCAAAGGCAATGCGTACTGCTCAAACGCCCCCTCCAAAAATGAGCGCAGCCGTGCGTAATAGTAGCCAAAACGCTCCGTGAGATAACGTGTCGGTCGAGCGTATACCTTGCACCAGATGAAGTGTAATTCCGCTCCGGTCCACTTTAGGTTCCCTCTGAGTGCAAGTGTGGCTCGGGAACATGCAGCATCCCTTTTTGTGTGAGAAACTTGTGTCCCCCAGAAGAGAGCAAGAGGTCCGAGGAGGAGGAAAAAGGTGGTAGCTGTGAATGGAGTGTGTGTGTGTGTGTGTGGGTGTGTGTGTGTGTGTGTGTGTGTGTGTGTGTGTGTTGTGTAGGGGGGGGGGGTCCTTTTCTTCCTCTCTGGAAAAGCTTTAGATTCCGTTTACCTGCGTTTCCTCCCACCAGCTCGTCCTGTCCGTGTCCTGCAGCGCAGCAGAAACAAACTCACATGTGTTGCTTCAGTTTTTTTTTTTTTTTAAAGCAGAAAACGAGAGCCGGCGAGTGTTGAGTGAGTGATTCTGCGTTTTGCGCGCTGCTGAGGTTGAGCGGTGACTGACTCTTCCACTGGTCCTGATGCTTGCTGCCTTTTTCCTCATATAGCGCCGCGCGACTGTCACGTGTGGAGATTTTCGAGTTTTGTGTTTCTTCTTATTTGAGATGTTGAAGATGACATTTCGTGTAGTCTCCCCCCACCCCCGCTGCACTCACCCACACTGGCCGGTACGAGGCTGCCTCTGGGTCCTAGTGAGCGGAAAAAGCTGGAAACATCCTTCAGGAAAGAAAGTTCATGATTTTTTTTTTTTTTTTAAAAAAGGAGATCACAACTTGTCTGTAACTGAAGTTATTTCAACATCCAGAATATTCCTTTAAGATCCCAATGCAGATCCAAATTCTTTGGGGAATTCATTACATAATTAAGCTTCTACTTAATTTCTCCTGGATGTCTTCATACACGTTTCAAATTAAAGTTTAGAAAAAAATTGAGTAATTGCTGCACAGTCAGTCCAGTTACTATCTGGGTTCAGCTTTCTTCCACTGATGATAGCCCTATTGAATAATTAGAGGTTCGCCAAAAAAAAAGCAATTATCTGCATAACGTGCGTAATGAGGAGGGCCCGCAAGGCAGCCATCTCGGCACGCCTCTTTCCCCCCCCCCCCCACACTCCTCCTCCTCCTCCTCCTCCTCCTCCCTCTTCTTAGAATTAGTGATAACCGTTGGAGGGGCTGTAATTGTAGAACATGGAATAAATCATTCAATAAGTCCAGGCTTTTCCAGGCCCGGGCCTTTCACACTGACCCGCGCGACCTCATCAGCGCAGACGTGATCTGGTCAGCGTGGAGGCAGAGTTTCTCCCTCACTCAGAAACAACTTACCTTCGTGTGTGTGTGTGTGCGTGCGTGCGTGCGTGCGTGCGTGTGTGTGTGTGTGGGGAGGGGGACATGAGGAGCTGGCAGCCGTCCACTCCTCTGTGACATTCAGAGTCTGGCAGCTCGTCAACTCTGCAGATAGGTGCAGAGAATAATTACAAATCAGAGCTGAAGTGCGAGACAGCGGCGTCAGGGAAGTTAGTGACAGAGGTGTTCCCGGAGTTCAGTTCGCACATGCAAGGCGGGCGACCAAACTGTACGGAGGATTTCTGCTGCCACTTTATCACCTTCAGCTACTGCTCCACAGCCTGATTAGAAGTCGAGTTGTGAATGCTCTACCCCCTTCAGCCACTAGGTGTGGCACTTAATCTTTTATTTATTTCAGGAAATTATTTTCATGTGAGAGCTGTTTGGTCCATGTCAGTATCACTGCAAAGCAGAGGAAAGTCAGGATGAGTGCAAAGCCGTTCATAAGACAAATATATATATACATATATATATATATATATATATATAAATAATACTATAATGTCCATTATTCCAGAGATTGAACTATTTCTTTCTAAAAAAAAAAAAAAAATCTAACTTCAGACTGGTTGCCCTCATATAAGATCACACAGACCTCCCATGTTAAACATGACAGAGGTTCATTTAGAAGGTGGTTTTACACCAAAGAAACCAATGAGAGAGATTTTTACCCTTAGACAGTAAAACACACACAACTAAAGTTTCCATCTCATAACTGGAACTGATTGAAAAAAGTGTGTGGGGGGGAAAAACCTATATGAAAAAAAAAAAAAAAAGATGAGGAGGAATCATGGTTGATGGTTGTTTCCTTGCCAAAACCTATAGTGACCTTTGTCCTGACTTTGTTTATTTATTTATCCAGAGAGCAGTGACAGAGGTTGTGGTGAGGAGGGCTGTTAGCCACAGGCAGTGCCGCTGGTTTGGATTCCTCTCTAAAACAACATCTCAAAGTGCACGGTTAAGGTGAATGTGATAATTTAGGCCTCAGGCACTTTTATTTTCATGATGTGTCATGGAGAAGGGGGCCGGTAAACCAATCACTTTATTCTCTCCATCCCTCCCTCCCACTCGTTGCAGTGCACAGAAGTGGGGGGTGACGTCAGCATTTGGATGGTCTGGCTCAGAGCCCTCAGTGCCATAACAGCAATGAGGGGAGCTGCTATACACTCTGTTCATCAGAGCTCCAGACTGGATGGTCTTCAGCGTGGGCTGCTGTCACAGTTTACTATAAGAAAAAAATAATAAAATAAAGATCCAGCCCAGACTGGTCATTTAAAAGTCAGAATCTCCAAAATGTCAGGGGCAGGATGACAGTGAGGCAAAATGAGAAAGTTCATGTTATACTTAGCAACTTTCCATGTTTGTGGCTCCAAATGGAAAAGAGGCAAACTTGAGCGTCCAGAAATAATCTAACATGACATTCACAAACAAAGCTGATACATTATGGGCCACGTGTACAAACACAATTTTACAGTCAGACTAAGTCTAGTCGACAAAACTCTCACCTCAAGGTGCATTTGGCCGCCGTTCTGGAGCTTGAATTAAAAAATGAACTGAAAAATAAAAAGGAAATTTAAACACCTACAACTCTGTATATTCCATCTGGTGATGAGGATCATGGGACATGATTGCAAGCTCCAGAAGTTATTTAATGGACCTGGAGGTGAGATCGTTGTCAAATGCTGTTTACAAGGTCCAGAATGATCTTTGAACTGCCACCATAAATCTAATAATTCATTTTAATGTATTAAACTCCATCCAAAATCTGTCTTTTCAATATGAAACTCTCAATGCTTAAAATGTGACTTAAAAAAAAAAAATTTGTTTACTGAACAGAGGCTGTACTCAGGTCAGATTCTAAGTTTTCAAAGTGGAGAAAAGTGTCAGCATATTTTGACAAAGTTGGAACAGTTTTGGTTGTTTCATTGAGGGTTTTCTGTTTTGTTTGTTCTCACTAATTTGAATTGGTGGGGGCGGAGCTCAGCTGGACAAAGTGATGTCACACGATTTGCTGCACCAATCAGGATTTACAAGTATCTGAACATGGGTTCTGATCAACCAAGATTATATGTTTTTGACTGTTCAATTTTTAATAAATATGACCATGGGATGTTTACTGTTAAAGAAAATCTTAAGATCTGAAACCAAGTTCTCAGGGGCTTTTAGTCAATACGTTTTTTTTTTTTGTTTTTACCTGATGTACACAAATATACATTTAGTGAGCTCCACCATTCACACGTACCTTAAAGCTGTACTGCCAGGCAGCCTGGACCGACTTACTGCAGGTACTAACAAAACAAATGGAAACAAAAACTGTAGTGCTGAACGACTGGAACATCCTTCTTCTAAAATGGAGTGTCAGACTCTGTGTACTGAAGGAGACATATAGTGCTATAGTTTTGTCTATTTCCTCCGGTCACAATGTCCTGATACGTCACATTGAGTCAGTAATTTAGGGGCTAAAAACTTTTATGGCCTTATTTGAAAGTATATTGAAAAAAATACACTGGGATTTACAGTAATGAATACTTTCAAAAACCACCGCACTAAAAGAAGAAGCACATTTTCACCTCCATATTACACAGTGCACTTAGGACTGATGCATTATGTGAAAAAATAAGAGAAGGAAAACACCTATCATCAGTCTGTCCTACTTCTTCTCTGCACAGAACACTGTCATACCTCTGTTGAGAGGGTTTGTGGGTGAAGCACACATTCAAGTGATGAGACACTCTTTGCACTATTAACCTAATAAAGCAGGTGTATTTTTTACATAAAACCCTTGTTTGGTGTACAAGTACATGTAAGAAGGAGAAAATTAAAGAGGTGAAGGAATGAAGGCCTGTTTGTGAGCAACTGCGATAAAGGAGGGAGGGAGGTAGAGTCAGAGGACTGAGTTATGAGAAGGTCGAAAGCAGAGAAAAGCGGGGGTGGGGTGGGACATTAAAAAGATTGTGTCCGTCTGGCTAATGGTTCTTTATGGCTCCCTCATGTCCTCAGATGGGCAGGATGACTGGCAGAGAGTGTGACCACTGGTAACTGTACATCACCTCTGTTTGCCCCCTTCAGCTGACGTCCCACTCAGTGAGACTGCCTGCCACGGTGAAGCGAACCACTAAAACACCATAAAACCAACAGACTAAACAGCCATTCATCATTACTGCGCACACATGAGCTGCATCACACACAGCAGTCTTAACTGTCCCACTCAGTGACTCAATGCACACATTAAAACTTCATCAAGTATTACCGATACAAAAAACACTGACCACTCAAACCTCAACCGCCATTTGTAATGTCCAGAAATAAGGCAATCATGGGTGAAAATGGTTTTGTTGGTCACTTTTATTGAATTGGTGATGACTTGAACCAAGTGCAAAACAGTACT